ACATACAGACAATTCTAAAAATTATAAAATGTTCTTATTTAATTATTTTCAGTTCCCCATAATGATTTTAGCCACCAAAATATATACCTATACAATGTACAGAAAGAGACACAATATGTTATTATCATTTTTATTATATGTATATATTTAAAGAGAGATGGCGCTGCTAACATCAATTCTAAAAATAAAAGAGATTAATTGACGCGATTGATACATTATATAAAACGCAAGAGTACTTATAAATCAGTGCCTGCACAGTAAGCAAAAAATAAACTTTGACTCTCGCCAAAACCAACGATTTGTTAATAGCTCTTTTAAAATTTGATTTACCACATAGAGTACTCGGCGGTAAAGAATAAATTGAGTTTATCAACACGCAGTAGGGCAGCGAGTAATATAATAAAGATTAGCAGTAAATATGAAAACTCATCTACAGGAAAAAAAAAAACATTGCAATTGCATTACATTTTCACAACACCACCATCTATCGAAGAAATGGGAAAACTATTGTGCTTCAGATTTAGTTAATAAGGTTAATATATTTTTGTATAATATATTTAATACGTTTTTTAATACTTTTGTTTACTGCGTTTTAGATATACATAATTATATCATTATTTTACATAATTTAACTATGATTTATGATATGATATTAGTTTAAAATGCACCTGATGACTCAAACAAAGCCACCGTTGAGCAAATTCGTACCTATACTTCCCTACCCATACTTCAGAATATTTATCATAACTTTTGATGGAATGAACTGATTTTAATGAAATAAAGACTAAATGTAACCCGAAGATACACTTTATAATTTCCTTAACAATTCTTATGATATAAATTAGTACTTTATACGTGATACGTTAACAAACAAACAGACAGACAGACAGACAGACAGACAGACAGAAAATTCTAAAAATGGTAGAAATGTATTTAATTACTTATTTTTAGTACCCCTCAATCACTTTTATTACAAAAATATAAAATGTACAGACATCTGCTATTTACAGTTTTATTATATGTATAGATTAAGATATCTATTTGACAAATAAATACATTAGTATTATACACGTTTTTTACTAAGTTATGCTTGATGCAAATAAAAACTAGCGTCAAAATATGTTGCGGAGAAGGCCGTCTAAGTCTTGGAGGGTAATAAATGTCATATGCCGGTCTTCGCCACTTACAGAAATCGTCATCCTTTGGTGTCTTTTTAAGCCTTTACCTAAGAATAGATTCTTAGGTTATTACTTTCCTACGATTTTGGATCTCATCGTTTTAATACTAAGCACAATACAAAAACATTTTTGATTTAATTTAGCAAGTATAACTATTGATTTTTTGAATAAAACTTTACTTGCTATTAAAAAGCATTGGTTAATATTCAAGGTTTTGCACCCCTGGAACTGCAAACTATGCCGGTCTTACCCGACAAATGCAGCATCTCGCGAAATAAGCGCAATAAAACGTTATTTCTGAGAGTTAGGGTACAAATATTAAGTTGTTACAGGAACTGGTATTCGTATACACATTCATTCACACAGGCATTAGTATCTGTAACTAAGCCAACTACCGCTAACTAGGGAAAATCGCCACTAGACGGTCTTAACCGACATGGCAGCCAAATCCGTCTATTTCACTGTGTTTTCAAAAATGTTGTTTATATTCTGAACCTGTGGTCTTTTTGTCATTTTGACATATTTATTGTCAGATGAACTAAATATATTACTATCTAGTTTAACCTTTGGATTTAAGATTATAGAATAGCCAAACTAAGATCATTTGTATTTTTTTTAAATTTAGTTTTATAATTTAGCCGGTCTTCGCCGAGTTGACCTTATACGAATTTGTGTTTTGTGTCCGTCTTAAAGCTGGTGACCATATTACCCTCACGTATCTTACCCTATTTTAAAAGTTGGAAATGGTCTTTAAAAATATTTCAACTGTTTCCGCACGAACGAAGACATTTCATCTTTTCTCAAGTCAATTTCCAGTCTTAATCTCAACGCGTCCCTTCTAATTCGGCCCGCGCACACGCACGCACGCACGCACATGGCTGCAGTATGTAGTATGTACACAATACACATGCAGTTTTGCCGACCGGCAACGAGTGGGAAGCTTGCTGTTACGGTACCGGTGACGGCACCGGTGGGAGTCATCACCGTGCCGTCGCCGGCGCCGGTAAGTGGAAAATCATTCCATATATTTCATACCCGGCAGCCGTGCCGGGTATGAAAAGTTGAGTTTGATTTTAAAAAAAATCTTAAAATTATAAAGTATTTTAGTATAAGCGATTTCTGGATCTCGACAACAGCGGTACCCATCGGGTCCAATTGTGAATCTTAACCACCCACTCAAACGCACATTAGAAAAAATTATCGAAATCGTTCGAGCCGTTCTCGTCTAATTTTTGGGTGTTTCGAAGAGGTTTTATGAAGTTGTTTTGATAATTTTATTAATGCTTTAGTTTCCGGCTATAATTTTATAACAATATGTTTTTTTTTTTTCAGGACCATAGCTGAGAGCTTTAAGAAAATATTATACATTGGTGTGTTAAACTGGCACAAATGAAGGCATATAAATACTGGAATGTGTTAAAAATATATGTATATATATATATATATATATATATATATATATATATATATATATATATATATATATATATATATTCTCAATAAATCTCTAACACCGATGAAAAAAAAATATATGCGCACACCCTTGCCTAAGTATTGGTACCTATTGTAAAATGCTGAAATAGTGAAGTTCTTCTGTCTTAATAGTTGTGATAACTTTCTATAAACTTAACAAATTTAAAATAAAATAATATAAAAACAGCCTTTCTTAGTAACACGGGCTGCGGGTTTTTCCTTGATACAGAATTGTCTGTTATTTTGAGGGGAAATATGGGCACACAAAAACAACCAACAATTTCACACACACACACACACACACACATATTATACATTATAACAGTATCGCTCGGTGACAGCGACAACTCCGATACAGACGCGGACTCGGATCAGTCCCTCAACTGATCTGCATATTGTATAATGGCGAGCGGCTTGTGTTGGGAAACAAATCCGAAACAACAGGACTGTTATTATATAATTTTTAAGTTGAAAAAGAAGTAAATAGCAATTACGTGATTAAAAATTATTTTTAAATGAAAGGTAACGCCTTCTTCAATCTTTTTGCAAATTTGTCATGGCAGATCTCTTTTTGCAGTAAGAAAACAACACAGTATATGGTATTTTTGTGGGACGTCGATTCAGCCACTCAACTAGATTTAAGTCGTGTTCCGATATACACTGCGAGCAATGCTCAGTGCTCTCACTGGTGAAAAATTAGTTCCATTATGGATTGCCAATATACTGCCTCAGTACCCTAGGGAAATATGTGACGTCATAAATCACCGCCATTTTTGTATTGTGAGCACTGACGCTTTCGAGGTAAGGTGCTCTCAGTACTTTGATCACGTGATCAAAATACATAACAGCGCTTAGAGATTTAACAGCTTCCATGAATGATTATTATTATTATTAATTAATATTGTCATTCAAACAAACTCTGACATTAAGTTTTAAAAGCAACAAGCAATAACATCCAAATAATAATTTTCTTGTTGAACAGGAAACGTGTACCTGACAAATATTTTCATTTGAAATCAGTGTCGAAAAATGGGAATAACAGTATACTGGACAAGTGGTAAAATTAAAATTTTTGTATAACCGACTTCAATATATAAATAATTTATTGTTGATTTTTTAAAAACCGCTTGACTGATTTCGATAAAATTTAAATGGGACCATATCCTTTGAAACAAAAAAAATTCAAATTGATCCGGCGTCTTCGAGTAATCGGTGAACGTACATAATAAAAGATTCCGACTAATTGAGAATCTCCTCCTTTATTGAAGTCAGTTGAAAAAGGAACCGCTTCACTACTGAATTAACGTCACACCTTACAGTGGTCACAGTGCATATCGGAGCATACCCTTAGTCTAGTGAGCAGTGCGGCTGCAAGTAGTTTTATCGTGAGTATAGAACCGCGTGAACCTATACTTTGACAGAGGGGAATGCCTGCGTATGGCTACTACAAATGTACTCTGTGATGGCTGCTCCCCTCTGGTCCACCGGTGGCCAGTGTGGCTATAAGAGCGAATGTGTTGTATATAAATCTTATAAATGACTAGACTTAGTGTTAGTGCTTAATAAAGTTGTAAATAGAAAAGTATTTTGTTATTTATAATTTTTGATATTATTTTGATTATATACTAATTGGTGGTGGTATAATAGAATTCATTTTTCAATTTTATCCCACCTTTTTGAATATACCTCTCACCTAGAGACACTACATGCCAGGACTTTTGGACTCCTTTAGAAAAGAGGATAAAGGGTCCTTCTTTCTCCAAGAAGTCGACCAGCTAAATGTATATATGCAGAATAAAACAATTGTATTAGAATAAAATATTTTATTTAAGCTCACATATTTGATTTGCATTATACACTAACAGCGGTAAATTAATTCTAAATAAATAATTTTTTTAAATAATGATTAATAATTAACGCTAAAAAAGTAACTGCATATGTAATAATATTCACCTCCTACATTCTTGTTGTTAAATTTATGACAAATAGCTATCCTAAAAGACGTGATCGATATTCATAGTTTCATACGTATAATATATAATAAGTGGGATACCTATTTTATTATATTTTTAAGTTCGTTCGTTCAGTTGGTGCACCAATCAATATACTATTTAGCTCTACAGTAATTTTCCTATTTCAGCTGATGTAATCTTGATATTGATACCGCTACTGTTAGTGTTAGTAACAGTTTATTGTAACATTCCGGAAGCTGTATACAAAGCCTTATATTTAAAATTAGGTAAATAGGAGTGAAATATCACATCGTCACGAGCAGTATTAGCATTGTAAAAGCACCAATCTGTTAATATTTTAAAATTACTGACACAATAGTATAGCGCATATTATTACCTGTTTATTATTTACATCATGAAGTCAACTTCTAATATTAGGGAATACTATAACAAAACTTTTCAAACGTAATTTGAAATTTCTTTGATTATTATTCCGTGACTAGTTTATTTAATACATGGATATAAAATTTTCGAAGCGATTATTTTTCTTTATTTCTTATAGCCGTAACAGTTTTGTTTTATATACTGATAAATAAGGTTATATACAATTAATAAGAAACAAAGGATTGCGGCATGATAATGCATTGGCATATTGTATATAGCGCTTATAATTCCCAGCTGTTTTCCTTTGACACTGTTTAATCTTGTTTTGCTCTTTTCTGGAATCGTGTCAATTGAAGAAGATGTATTTGATAATTCCTGTACATGACAATTAGTTTTTTGTGCATCACCGTCACTATTTAAAACTTTATCTAAACTGTTTTCGGAATAAGATTGTATTTCTTTGTCAATTTTTGTTTGTTGTAATTCTTCGTGTATCAATTTTGTCTCTCTTTTTGCAACTTCTGTAACTGATTTTGAATTTTCGTTTAAACTACTTTCAGAGCAAACATTTAAACTTTCTTGCAAGTAATTATCAATTTTAGTTAATTGTTCTGAAACAAGGAAATTCGCCAGAGGACTATGTGCTCTTTTTTTTGACCCATCGACCTCCACACCAATATTGTCTACGGTTTTTTGCTTAATATCTAAATTATTCGAGTTGTTGTTCGAATTTTCTTTAAACAACGAGTTTACTATTTTATAACTCTGTAAGTCTTCAAAGTTATTATCAATAAGTTTCACTGTAGTTATTTGTCGATTTAATGTCTGTTTTGGTGTCAAATGTGGACCCTCAAGCTCTGGAAGAACTGGCGTAAATTTTACTTTAATAACATCTTCATTTGTAATCGTCTCAGTTTTAACAATGTCATCAACATAGTCCTTATTGCCGTTTATGTTAATAGTTTCCGTTATACCAGGGGAGTCGATGACGTCACAACGTGTTGAGCTATGTACTCGATCAACTGTCACTTTGCTTAGTAACTTGCCGTCTGAACTTCGTATGTCAGAAAACAATCCTCCATCGAAGTGGAGGGGCGTTTCCAACTTCCTTGTTCTTTGTGGTGGGTGGTTGTCGGTGTCGGAAAATGTAGATGGGGAAAGAGAGACTGGTCGAAAAACGGTAGTAGAGTAAACAGTGTCAGAGTTATATATTATCCGCTGGGGGTCACTAGCGGGCATGTATCCTGCAGTATGGGCGGCCTCCTCTGGCGAAGAAGCTTTGTCCTTCGAGGTTCTTCTTGCACACCTGTAATATATAAATACAAATTGCAAGAAGTAAAAAAAATATCAGTCCTACAAAAAAGTAATGAGACAAATTTTATTTAAAAAATATTTGAGTACCTACGCAACTTATTGCAAACATCTAAATTAAAATCAAGACCGGTTAATTAATTATTCAACAAGAGCCAACGGCGTTATAGTAAACGGACATACGATTAGAATGCCTCTGGACACAGAGCATCAAAACTTTTTAGGAATAATTATAACTTTTAACAAAAAGTAAAAACCGTCTTCAAAGTGCTGAAAAAGAAGTTATTATATTTATATAACGGAATTTTTTCTCCATATTTATATTGGACCAGCCTTGAAGAATATAACCTATTTAATAAAAAAAGAATTATTAAAATCGGTTCTCAATATGTGAATATATCATATTAAATTCTTTGAACAATAGTTCAATATGATTCTTTTTACCCCATTTTCTATCCTTGGGGCGGAATTTCTTCTTCAAAATTTAATGGGAACACCCTTGAAGTAACGTCTATTTAATATAATTGAAAATTAAAAATTTTGTACAGCCGACTTCAATATAAGCGACTTTAATATAGGTTATTTAGGAATAACTCAATAACCATTGGTTTGACCTTGATCAAATTCATATGGGACCACACGAGAACTATCAGCTTTCATATAAAAAAAAGAATCATCGCAATCGGTTCGCCCTGTACAAAGTTATGAGGTAACACACATTAAAAAAACATACAGTCGAATACAGTACCGTCTCCTTTTTGGAAGTCGGCAGAAAAAAAGAATCATTAAAATCGATTCACAATCTGCCAAGATTTCGCGTAACATACATACAAAAAACATACACTCGAATTGAGAACCTCCTCCTTTTTGCAGTCGGTTAAAGATATCGTCCGCGTCGTACATTTCATTTACTTTTGTAATCATTAATATATCCACAATTTGCATAAGGCTGGTATTGAAAGTAAATTATAGTAAAAATTCATGCGTTTAACAAATACTTGAAGTATTTTTTGTAAATCAATGTCCTTTTAATACAACATCATTGGCTATATTATAATTTATCAACATAAGTAAGGACTGACAATGAATTCCAGCCTTGTGTACAAGATTTGTATATACAACAAAATATTGTTATGTTTATTATAATTATACATAAAATAGCCAAAATAATTCTACTTTAACAGTACGTCACTCAACTCTTAAAGCATTTTTCTACAAGCAATTTTCTTAAAGGGGTATATTAAATACTACAACACTATATCCTTCCAGGAATTTTGGGAAGGTTTATTATTTTTCAGGTCTTAAATAAACATATAAGTTAATAATTTTCTAGACAGCATAATACGGAACACACGCTGGGAGCACGCACACAATGTAAGTACAATGGTTAATTTGAGGAAAAAATCGATGTGGGAGCGTATACAGCTTTTGTAGAAATTAAATGTGTATATTTAATCGTGTATTTTTTTATTTCCGGCCAATCAACAGGCATTATAGATGATCATTGTAATCAAGATAATTAAGGAAAATTATTTAACATTCGGGTATAATATGATAATTACTTATTGTATGTGTTTTATTTGTGCGTTTACGAAACGTATAAAATGATTTTTAACAACATTTACACACAACAACGTGATTGGAATATGAAATAATATTTACAGTAGGTAGGTAATAGATGAATGAATACAGTTTATGCAAAACAGTGGTTTCATTTTTGACTATTTTATGTAAAATACGTTGGAGTTATTATATTTAATAAACTTTTTCGTGTATCGTGTAAACAAAGATAAATTAAGTTACATAATTAAAATGTATTTGTGTTAATTTTTTCACGTTACAGGTAGACAGTATGTGTTTTTTTTAACTGTAATTATATTAGTAGGCTCGCATCATACGCACCGTGCAGTTGAAGCACTGACTGTGGTAGTTATTGTTGAGCGCCTCGACCCACCTGTCGCCAGCCTCCACGGGGAACCCGCAAGCAAAACATTTTGTAGTAAACAGCTCGTTCCAGTCTGAAATTTAAATGAATATTTTTAAGAGGCCACTATAACATTATATAATTAATGATTTCTTATATTTACGTGAACACTACACATTGAATAAAACTATTTTTTTTTGCGTTCAATATACTTATTTTTAACTCCCGACGTTTCGGGTACTTTGTGACCATGAGTGCTGATGAAATGCGAAAAAATAGTTTTATTATAAAATTAAAATTAATAATCTAAATTAATACCAAAACTTTAATTTTTGTGGACAGAATAGCAGAAACAACCTAACTGATTCATTCAACAAACATAGAAAACAATAAAAAATGTTGAATGAAAACATTAATTAAGCAAAAAAATTTGCAGCGCTTCAACTACAGAATTATTTATAGACAAAAGCTTTTAAATGTATCCATTTATAAAAAATATTACCTGCTTCACAATATGGCAAACCGTCCTCTAAGAAGAACGGATTGTTACCGAATAACTTGCCGCAATATACACAGTTGAAGCACTCGGGGTGGAAATGTTTTCCAATAGCATTCAAGCAATCCTGAAAAATCGGAAAGCAATAAAATATTAGGTGAGTTTTGTTTGTATTTCATTGAAAATATCTTATCGCCTTACATTATTAATAAAAAGATCATCACTCTATTTAGCCTGAGGGCGCTCTACACTATGAGACTGCCATTCGAGAAGTCTTTGATTGTGGGTTCTTCGGGTTAGGCCTATTTTGACGTAACACTCACTGTCCGGTTTTCAGACCCAATAGCAAGACAATAGCAATGACCTATATTATGTAATGCACGGGACAGCAAAAGGACAGCGTTGCGGATAAGAAGGCTTAACTTTATCCACAACGCTATAAGAATCTCACGCCCAAATACTCAAACGCTACTCAATTGCACGCCTCATAACGCGAGGGAGCGCTCTACTTTCGATATGTGGCCATATCTTAACTTCGCTACATAAAGTCGTTTTTATACTTTTAGCTAGACATCAAATCCATATTATTATTAACGTTACAATAACTACAGACATTGAATTATAAGATTAGTTTATTTTCTAATTGATTCACTTTAAATTACATAACAAAAAAGGTAATTTAAAAAAAAATGGGCTGCCGTCCGTTGGTCTGTGCGCCGGTGTCTTCTCGCTTAATAGAAATGTAAGTAATAGATTGAGATATATAGTATTAAATAAGATTCCACAAATTCTAAGGAAGATCCCTATTGATTTTTGTTATCGAACTCAACACCGTTTTCAAAGTTATATAATTAAAAAAGTAAAAACGCTCATGAGGCGTGCACTTTTGGATTTTCCAAACTATTTTAAGATGCCATTCAGTCTCGTGCTGACTCTATCACTATAAGTCAAAGTGACTGACACTACGAGACTTAACCGTTGCGGCCTAACCTTGCGGCACCAATTTTCGACAACTTTTAGCTATGGCGGCGAACAAATATGTCATGACACGCCGGGCGTGTCAAGCGCCACAGACAAACCTTACAAATGGAAGGATACTTGTTTTTAGTGGGTAACTACGTGTTTTTTTACGCGTTTTCCTTGAAATTGAGAGAAAGTGACTTTTTTTATGAAGAGATTACAAACCTTTTGTACTATTTTTTGTTGTTATAAAAAAATCATTTGTATGATAAGTAGGTACAGCTAAATCACCCTGGAAACCTTGGTTTTTATTAAATTAAATTTTCACCTAATAATAACATTTGTAAATATCAAACAATGAAGAACCTTAATTTGAAAAAAAAAAGGTATATCATTCATTGATATTTACAAATGTTTAATATTATTTAATGTTATACAAATGTAAAAGTAAAGTCGATCTGAAAACGTCTAATTAGTTAGAATAGCAAAACAAGTGTTTTCAAAAGGAAAAAAAAACGCCGGCGCTATACGGCGGCGGATTGACAAAAGGCTATTTATTAGCGAACTTTTTTTATGCATGAACGGTTTCAGCAAAGCAAAAATAAACCTTATACCATATCACAAGAGCATGGTACTTCGTAGGTCTATTCGGCCATATGATAGTAATAAGACGGCAGTTCAACCATTTTAAGCAAAATTAAACAATAAGACAAACGCATTGTTTTTTTTTAACAGGAGACTTGTTTTCCAGAAATTTATTTACAACTTGAGTTTGTGAGCGATCGCAATGAGTGCTATTATTTGTTACTTATTAGACAATTTTTCCATAACATGATTTAAAACCCACAAAGTAAAAATAGTACCATGTACACGTTAAAAAGAGGTTGTCATCCCCTAAAAATTTAAAATTTTCAAAATATCCAGAAACGAAGCTGCATGCATGAACTACTCGCAAAATAATAAATATTTTGTTCTGGATAAATTTCCAAAAAAAGCAATTTGAGCGAGTTATAACGATTTTTATAAAGACACGACTCGCGTGTCATACGCCACACAAAAAAGTAATTGATGGCACGCCTGGCGTGTCACCCGCACTGAACCGAAATTGAGTAGCGTTTGAGTATTTGGCCTTAAGATTGGCGGACGGACGTGTTGCCATTTCCAGGAAATGAACCCAGTTGAGTTGCATTCTCCAAGTAGTGATTGGAATACCGTTTTGATGAAATATTCTGGGAGTTGACGGATGCAAGTGGCTTCTTACTGTACTTTGTAACAATGTTCAGGGAGGTCCTCTTAATAGTAGGGGAGTCCAAGAGGAGATTTTTTGGATTTACTCAGCGCGTCAGATTAAGGTAAGGTCAGATTAAGGTAATTACGAGCTAAAACGAGTGCATTTAGAAAATCTGACGATTTGAGCATAACGTAGATAAGAGAGTGGGAGGGTTACAACGTTGCAAAAAAAGTGCGTGGTTGATTTTTTTGTTATTTTGAAAGAAATAATGCAAAAATAACAAAAAAAAAATAATCTGCCGATTTCCACAAGCCGAAATACTAAAAATCGTCTATGAAGATGAGAGCGTGCAGCTGAAGTGTGTAGCATGTATACCCCATTGCGCCTCTCTCTCCATTTCACTTTTTCCCAATCTCTGACTCTCTCGTGTGATCCTCACCCATGCACAATCACATTTTATGGTTACTGAGAAAAAAAAAGTTCATAAAAAATTCACAAAAAATTTATTTCTAGCAGTCAGATTATTAATATCCCTCAAAATAATCGTCAGATTTTAAACTACCATAACTGGGACCTCAAGCTGAACCTTCTTTATAATAATCAGACACGATCGAGTATTTACAATGTGGCGATTTTTTTTTCGCATTTTCAATAATTTGCTACGAGCTTCCGAATCGTCAGTCTTTTGAATAGGAGCATTTTTAGGGTTCACTTAATATCCCCTTTGAATATCTGACGCGCTGGAATTAATATTTGAACATCTGTAGTAGTTTTTACATTTTTGAAAATCTGTAGATGCTTCCCCCACCACTGTAAGGGGAAACATCATATAACTTTTTTTCTTTCTATCACCTAATCTACAACATCTAATAGGTCGTCACGATGCTTGAGTAAATCTCCATTTAGTATCATGGGGGGAATCCACTGTAAGTTTTCAATTGATCTGAACTTCAAGCAGTTTTTATGATTGTTACTTGATCTTCCCTACAATAGGATAAGGCCTTGTCTAGCTATAGGCTTTGATGGATTGATGAACAATGATAGCCCTACGAGGAAAAGATGTAGTGATATATTATTTTACACTGCCAGCATACGGCGTTTTTTTTTGTTACACTAACTAAAAAATATAAATACTTACACCCTTGATCTTTGCGTGGCATTTATCGCAAGCGGGAGCGATGTATTGTTCGAAACAAAATTCGCAGTACAGTTGACCATTTTCTTCTACAAATCCAATGTCTTGAAGTTGACGACGACATGTAGCGTTTACGCAAATGAAGTGCTCTGGACACCAAATGCGTCCTAAAGCCGTTATGAATGGTCCCCTGTTTATACACAATTAAAATGTAAATTATCACGAACTCTTTTACAAATTTAAAATATGACAAATTGAGTGTATAAAAAAAGTGTCGGTAATATTAAAAAAACTAACAATATTAATATTTTTTGTATTAATGTTAAACAGTAAAACCATGCTTTAACATAAGACAATCATGCTATGACATGTCATTATAAAATTCTTACTTTTAGTTCTCGGGTAAGTATATGAGATTTATTATTTACATTACCTGGTTATGGCTTTGTCACATATGTGGCATACTGGATATTGTCCTTCAGCTACATCAACAGAGGTCATAGTACTTAATGGACGGGCGACAATATGCGAATCTCTTCTACCATCGTCGTTTTTAAATTTCTTCTTCTCTCTGCGTCTTACCACGGTCTCTGTTTCTGTATTGTCTAGTTTAAATTCTGTGTCGTTATTTTGTTTATCATCATTATCATTTTCTAGATGATTTGTTGTAGTATTGTCAAGTTTAGGAGATTTTAAAGCATACATTGTATTGTCACAAAAGTTATGGGGTAATTTTTTTGTATATTCATCATTATTTTTCACTGTAGTTTTGCTAGTATCGGTAGGTGATTTGCGAAGAAAATTTGATTGGTTTAGTTCTGACAAACCGTTGTTAGTTTTAAAACCATTTTTAAACGTCTCGTCTGATTTAATTGAGTCTTCATTTCTTTCAAAAATTTTACGTTTACTCAGAGTGTTAGAATAATTGCTTTCGGTTTTTATTTCAGACTTATGTAAATCTTGATTTATGTTCAGCCCGTCAGTGAAAAAAGGCTTTTCAAAGCTCGTTTTCTTTCTTAATGTATTACCATTACTTATACTAATTTCAGATTTTTCCTTATTCATGTCGTCGCTACTAGAATATCCACTCCCATTTGGAGATTTTTCAGTATTATTTAATGATTGAAGTAAATTTAATGTTAGTAATTTATTGTCAGAGTTTTTTAAAGAGTAATCTAACTCTTTTATTGGAGTTTGCATGTTTATTGAATTTAATATCGATGTACTCGGTATATCAAACGTTGGCACAGGAGTATTTGGTATCGGTGGTGGGATGGGGGGATATCCATCATCAACATTAACAGATAACGTTGAAGATACTATATTTTTTGTGTTATTGTAATTGCTATCAGTAGCTTTGTATATTTCGTCAGTATTTTTATTCAATGGCCTTCTTAGTGTATTTTCACGACTGCTATTTTCTGATGAAATACTGTCTGAATTTAGAGGATGCTTAGTCACAACAGTATCCTGAATTTTATTTGCCATACTCTGTATGTGATCACCAGGCTTTATTTTTCTCTGGATTCCTATTTCATAACCATTTAAAGCCATTTTAGCCATTTTCCTTATAAGTCTTTCTTCGGCTTGACTTTTGAACTCTGTTTTAACCGTACTTCCATAATTCTGCGTTTCATTAACTGTTAGAAAGCAAAAAACACTGAAGTAAACAAATGTGTAAAAAAAAAGCTATGTTAATAATTAGTAGATATCTAACACTGATTGAAATCCAAAACATAACTTATTAGCTTAAGGTGAAAAGTTAAACTAAAATTGATTTTTGGAGAAAAAATAAACTTGTATTCATGCACCACACAAACAACAATCAAACATTTTTTGTTTTACTATCGAATCACCTAATGTTTCCGTTGCAGGATGCGCAAAGAGGTATGCGAGAGCCTGGTAGTACTGCTTTGTTCAAAACTCCCCTGCCTCGTTTTGGTGCCGACGAAACACCGAAAGTTTTGCCTCGAGAGGCAGCTCCTACACTGGAACCTGTCGATGGGGTAGGATCACACGCTGGATCTTGGTTAGCACCAGAAATCGAAGGAATTGGTTTATAAATTTCATAATGCCTATTAGCAGCGGTAACATTTTCATTAGTAATATTAGAAGATAAACTTTCATGGGTGGCTTGCAAGCTCATTACAGGTTGAGGAAAGACTTTTTTGGAGATGTTAGATGGCTGAATATTAGATTCTATTTGTTGAAATGAATCTGAGGAAATCGAACCCCCCTTTTTAATTTCCATGACTTTAGCAGTGTGCATTTCTTCAAATTCTTCATACAACTTCTCCGTTTTTTGCACAGTTGTGTTTCTATGCTTAGCTGCATTTTGGGACTGCATTTGTGTTTGTCCGTAATTTTGCTCCGTAATTTTAAGCATTGAGTTTTCTTCAAAACAATCTTTGTGATAATTCTCTTTCTGATATTCTACATTTAAACCTGTTGGTTCTTTTACAAATGAAGGTTGTTTTAAATTATTTTGTATAGTATAAGATGAGCCTATGTTTTGCATATTATCATTTTCCTTTTTTATAGACAATGTCGTTTGAGACATAGGCTCTTTGATGCGAGGTGCGTGAGCTTTAACATTACTGGGGTTTCCTATTGTTGGAGAACGTGATCCCAGCATAGGTGTAGACGCAGGACTAATTTCAGTACTGGAAGGCTCATACACCTGGCTCTTCGGAGCCAAATGTTCTACGGTGACTAAATTCATCTGATAATGAGGAATTATGGGGGCTGGTTTATTGATTAAGCTGGGTGTTGCGGACCTACTATGTACAGGTGAACCTCTTAAGACTTTCTCATCCAAAACAGGCTGAAAAGTCATGCTTTCTTTTTGTTCTGATTGGTTAGGCATTTGTTCAGGCAGTATTGTTTGGTTAGTTTTTGTATTATTTAAAGTTGAAGTCCCAGGAGCATTGAAAAATTCAGGTGTGATACCTCTTTGAGGCAGAATTCGCTCGGTATTGGTCACGGACTTAGTAGATGTTGATGATATAATCTCATTTTTATCTTGTTGTTCAAAATAATTTTGTGACGCTTTAACTGATGAAAAACCATGGATACGGCTACTGCTTGTTACAGCACAAAGCTCCGATGCTGTTTGGGATATCTTTTCATTGCTATTTAGTTCAAAGTTAGGTTGACTCGTTACAGAAGCAGAAGAAAGCGTAGACATTGTTTCAAATTTCTCAGGCTTTGGTGGTGGGAAAACTTGTTTGCCTACGGGTTTAAAAGCTGATGGTTCTGACAATGATTGTATGTTTTTCGTTTTTTGTTGCATTAAGTATTGATTTGCTTCGGTTGGAATTGAACATTCCAATGGCTTATTCGATTCAATTTGAGGTGAAATTTCCGAGAACCTATTTTTATCCAATGATGTTGATGTACAGTATTTTGGTATATTTGAGAAACTGAGAGGACTGTATGGCCGCTCTGGAGCTATTGTAAGTGCATCTATAAGGGAACCGCGTTTTTCCGAAGACACAGTAGACACTCGCGAAGGAACCCGTTTTTTAGCTGGTTCGTTGGACACTTTTTGAATCGATTTAGACTGACTATCACATTTTGTTTTTGGTTCCAATTTCTTTAAGACGTTTGTTTGGCTTTGCGTTGTCGTTGTTTTCTCTGGAATTACTATCGTTTTTGGTGTTTCACCTTTGTTAATGACTGGTAACAAATTAGATTCTTGTGATGAAGACGAAAGTGAATATATCGGCTCGGAAGTAATAACAAATGCTTCTGCCGTGGTAGTTGAAGCATTATTTTTTATTATTCGTTCTTCATTAGATTCAAGCTGTATTTTTTGTTCGACAAGGTTTTTAATGAAAGGAATGGTATCAGGTGGCTTAACTGTAGATTGTTGTACATTTTTTATGATGTCCACATCGCTTTTACATTTATTTTTATTTTCTAAGACATTAAATTCAATATTCGCGTCAACTTTTCCTTCTTTTGTTGTAGTATCTTTAATCGAATGTGTTTTTATAAAGGCCTCTGATTTAATAGATTCCTCAAAAGCGTTAGTTATTTCTTTATTGTTCATTATGTTCTCAGTTGGATTATTCAAAGATAGTTGAACCAAATCTTTTGGATTTATCTGCGATTCATAAACTGATATACTTTGATTTTGAACAGATGCATGTTCTATAAGGGAGTGGACGGAGCTTGTGCTTTCTTTTATGATCCCAGATTGTGTATTCTGAACCATTGATGCAGATTGCGATGAAGTGGTCGTTGCTGCGGATATCGTAGCTGTACTAAATTGAAAACCAGAGGAATATACAGCTGTTTGTTCCGTAGAAACTACTTCTGAACAGTTTTGTTGGTGACTAACAATTTCTGATTTGGAGTTTTCATTTTTCATGATTTCGTCACATTTCCTTCTCTCTTCCATTGGATCCACGTGCATGACTTTTTGATCAGCAACACTCATATCATCATCCGGGGGGTTCGGTGGTGGTGGCCACACAATGGTTTTTACATTTTGCGCTATTAGTATTTTATTAATAACAAGAGGAGGGAAATAAATGAAAGTAAACATTAGTGAATTTGAAACCTTCAATATTTTTTATATAAATTACTCTAACAGACTAACAAAAAGAGTGTTTTAGAAGCAGGAATGTTATCTGATTTATGATTTTATCGATAGAATGATAAGATGGCACATGATTTATACTTAGGCAGAATGCCAGGAAATTAGTTATTTTAATTTTGCGACGGTATTGACTGCCTGCTTAGCGCATACACACATCTTTGCATTTTAGATTTGAATATAGCTATAAAAGCTCTACAGCGTCTTTATACATCTAATCATAAATTACCTTTAAAAATGGAACCTGGGCCCTCTGTCAAAATCAATAATAGTTTTATGAATATATATTCTATATAACTTATATTTGGGGCTAGCTGTGAATGGTTTTTATGTCACCGTATTTTGATTTTTTTTTCTTAGTTTAAATTGCGTTAAATAAGATAGAATAAGACTGAGGTAGAGAAAGCTTAACGTAGTTGGTTTTTTGATTGTTTAGTGGCGGTTTAAGAATATCCATTATCACATATCGTGCTGTGGGTGTCATAAGTGGCGGCAGAGGAAAACAATTGACGATACGTGCAGCAGCGTCTTCCTAATAATAACTAAAAATAAAAAAACTGCGGTTGCCAACCCGCCTAACAACATGGCATCTATAGCAAATATCCTCTTTAAGAGGAAATCTATGGATAAGGCCATGTTCAGCATTGGAATTTTGATAGGCTAGGATAGGATTTTACTACTAGATAACGTTATATCTTGATTGTTGATGATACAACTAGATAAATATTTTTGTGTCTTATACAAAGCTACATAATGAGCATTATATTCATATTAATTTTCGTTTTTTTTTTTAATATAGAATTGTGTGACGAACGAGCACACAGTCCGCCTGATGGTAAGTGGATGCTGTGGCACATAGACATCGATAATTATTCTCGATTAAGAATGAAAATGTAGATGCGTTGTCACCCCTGAGAACTACGGGTTTCCGGTTCTCTACACTCACCATACGAAACACAGCAGCAGTAAGCTGCTATTTTACGCTGGTATTTTGTGAGATTGTGGTTCTTCCCCGGTTGAGTCAACCCATTCGTATACAAATATTGTTTATATCTGCCGTACGTATTTGCATGAGACAACAAGATCGACGACGGAACAGTAATCATCATACGACCAAACGAACATTCCACTAATAGAGTTACGTTAAATGTCTGGTATTCCAATTTTAAAGATGTCACTTTGTTTTTAGGTAAGCATTCTACCTATTCAAATGAATGTATGCGAAATGTTTTTATCATATTTATAATTATATAGCAACACGGACCACCGCCGGACCAGAAGAGTTATCATCACCTTACACAACTACAACCTAACATACATTTGGTGGGTATGTCCACCAGGAAATGCTAATTTCAAAACCCACTGCCTGCTAATGGATAACAACATTGCTAGTGCGAGAGTGTTGACTTAGGGCTCACCAGTCTAGCTCAGGGTCTTATGTTTCATATTAAGTAAAAGGGGATAAAAAAGCTGGCATAGAAAAAATAAGAAACTCGAAGATCTTATTATTCGCTTCTGTACATAAGTAACATAAAACATCGCGTTTTATGTTATATTAAAATTAAAAAATATATGTAAAGCAGCGAAGCTGCGGTAATCAATTATGTACCTACTCTAATAACTGTAGTTAGTTTTCTAGTGAGTTTTCTTTCTAACTAAGACGATGGCACTTTAACCTCATCTTAGCTTACCTAATTCGAGGTAGGTATACTTTTGTATACACTGAGATGGTCTTCCTAAGACTATAGGTACTCTGTCTTTTAATTCCATCCAGTAGAATGACCGCTCATAAGTTGCTACTGTTTACGAAATAAAGTGCTCGAAGAATCAGGCGATCTAATATAATATTGTTTTATTCAATGCAGTGAAAAGTATTCATGAACTATTAGGTATATGATTAAAAGTCAAAGTAAAGGAGTACAGTGTACCTAAAGTTTGCAAATTAAATAGTGAATTTGCGTAATAACTAAACAGCAATTGTGACTTGCTTATAAATTGCTTATAAATGAATTTGCGTATCTAATCACTAAGCAGCAAATGGGGTTCGCTTATAAATGAAATAGTGAACTTTCGTATTCACTAAACAGCAAATGTGACTCGCTTACTGGGCGCGAAGGGCGCGGGTGCGGGGGCGGGTGCGGGGGCGGCGGCGGGCCGTGCCGGCGACATGGGCGCCGAGCGCGGCGACAGCGACGGCGAGTACGTCGAACCCAGCGACGAACCAAACGGCTTTGGGCCCGAACTCGATAAGTTGCTCGAAGGCTGGAAAAAATATACAATTTTTTTTTACTGTTTATTAGTAAGGGTGCATCTTTTAATAGAGAGTATGTTATCTATTTTATACAGCCATGAAATCTATAATATACCGACACCGATAGAGTAGTGACGGGATTATTTATAACTAATATAGGTAACTAAGTAACTTAAAGTTTCATCGAATTTGGGAGAAATTAAAAGATAAACATGTATACCGTCACTATAATAAGTAAATAACAGTTGCTATTTAGAAAGTTAGAATATTAAAAAAAAATAATGTCCACCAGACCGAAATTCGGTCACGGCAACCATCCATCCATCCAACCATCAAGCCATCTAAATAGAACAGGATTACAGTGCCCGAGTGTATGCACATGCCCGAACACAGGTGCACCCTCTATTTCTTCACTCGCATAAATAGATAGGACAGTTGTCTGACATCGCCGGAGAGAGATCAGATACAAAACCAACGGCTTTAAATTTGTTTCGATAGGCGACAGAGTAACATCTTGTATGCACTAGACCTAGACGTAAAGTACTCAAACGGGAGACGGGCAGTAGTAGCAAAAGCGTGAACAGTCTATCTGCCTGTCAAACGTGAAAACTAAAAATCAAGACAAACAAATCCACAACGGGAGTGGCATCAGCCCATAAATGTCCATAAGTCCAGCGTTGAACTTTTATGAGATGATGAAGAAGAAAATTATATCGCCATCTTCCAGCTTGTAAACAATCACACCGCTAGCTACTACCGAAATCGCCATGCTTATCAAGCTGGTGATCACTGCACCATACGGCTTCCGCCGCACCGTAGACACCGTTCGCCGTTTACTGTCATTGATATTTTCTTTAACTTATACGAGCTGGCTATCTCGCGATCTTTTCGAGCATTTCTCTTAGTCTATTAACAAATCCATAATACAAGAAAAAGTGAAGAAGATTTCTTTCGTTCTCCTTAAACTTCGCTCGAAACTTCTTCTCCTCAGTTTCTTGGTTTGTCCCGGGTGATCATTTGAGCTACTATTCCGCTTTGCTTTATATCGATGGAGCCCACAGCTTTTCCAGGCATTTCTCCCAGGTCTTCGTTTCAACAGGTGTTCTAAATCGTAGATTTTCTTTTACCCTAACACACTGATTTCGCTCTATATTATAACTACGCCTACATTGTAAGTGGAATCATTACCTGACTTTCTTTACGCAGTGAACAATTTCTAGGTCTCTTTAAATTGAACGTTTCACGTCTTCAAGTACATGATCGTGTAGAAATTGATTAGAAAAATTAACTTCATGGAAAAAGGATCTAAACCTCAAGATTTGATCAGACTGTATTAAACATTTTATATGATGTTTTCTGTTTTTTTTTTTTTATTTATACTTACGCTGAACATAGAAGACGAGCCGTTAGTGTAGTTGTTGGTGGCAAGTGGAGGCAAAGGTGTTGAATACGTATTTGTTGGAATTCGGCTACCACTGGATAAAAAAGAAATTAAAAATGATAAATCACCAACTCTATTTATTCATAAAAAATAATTAGAATTTATCATAAATTTTATATTCAAGCAAATACAAACTATTTCAGTTCGTTCTATTACCATACAGGGTTATTTTGCAACAACTGGCAAATTTGTAGAGAAGGTTCAGAATAAGTAATTTAGGCAAACGGTGAAGAAAATAAATTAAAAAATTTCAAACATTCTGTGCTTTTTATCGTCTAAATTCAAAATGCGTGGTAATGCATTATTTTAACTGATTTTTCTGCGTAGGTATTCACACATTCGTAAGGGTCGATCGGTAGGCAAATACATTGTTGCCCATAAATCACATACAATTTGGGATAATGTCAAATAAAATTAGAAGCCTCATTTACTCATATTTTCGGAAATTGCAATAACGGTATATCATTATTTATATATTTGAACATGAGTTTAAAATTTGGCTACTCTTTGAAAAATAACCCTGTATTATCGATTCCTGAAAGATAGTGGCAGTAGTTTATTATCTCTTACCTGTTGTCACCTATGATAATAACCAGAAATGCTGTGTACGTAAAGGTAGGTAAGTGCTAAAGCAAATACTAAAAATGAATAGAATTTGAAGCAACGTACGGCGGCACGGTGACAGGCTCGAGGTTAGGTGCAGGCGGGTTCTGGCGCGCCACGAGCTTCGCGTGGATGTCGCAGTACAGCTTGCCGTTCAGGTTGTAGTAGCCCTGGTTCTTCAGCGACGAACCGCACGTAGAGCATTTGAAGCACTCCACATGCAAGTTCTTGTCCTTGATGCGCACGAACACACCGCTATACGCAAGCATATCCATTAAAAACGGTGAATTTTGTTTTAATATTATACAGAAAAGAAATGTGTTGTTTTTGTACTACATTGCATACAATCATGCTGACCAAATCGTCACTGCGATGCCACAATTCTAAAGGCAATATTATACTTGTGCGTTTAAAAATGCGATACGTGGTGATGACATGCTAAGTATAGTGTAATTAAAGTAATTGCTTCGATACAGATAATCTACTTACAAGTGATTGTTTAAAAGTGTATATGAAAAGGTGAAATCGATTACGTTGAGATGAGATATATGAATGTATATATACAGCTGTTAGGTATATAAGACAAGTATCACGACAGTACGCAAATGTTGTCACAATAATTGTATTAATCGATTACGGCGTCTTTTAATATTATTTATATATTTACAAAGGGTCGCAACAGAGGTAGTGGTGAGTGTAGATTCAAAGGCAATGAAACGCGAAAAAGTGGCCCAACGAGACGGCATCGAAGATACAGACATAACTTAAAAACTTGTTACCAGTACTTTCCGTCGAACCAAAATCGTCAACGGCCCACCACTACTAATGAATACGACAAGAAACACATAACGTAATAACTACTTCAAGTTCTACACAGGTCGACACGGTTGCAACACGGCAAGGCATTCCTCGAGGCGCCTCTTACATAATGTGGCGTTTACAGTTGGTGCAGGTGGGCGTGTCGGTGACGGTGGGGAGCGCAGGGTGCGGCACGGGCAGACTGGGCCGGTGTGCCGGCGCGGCTGCCAGGTGGCGCGACGTAGCGGCACGCTGCGCCGGTGTGGCCGCCACGTGGCGCGACGTAGCGGCACGTTGCGCCGGTGCGGCTGCCACGTGGCTTGACGCCGACACTTGCAGCGCGCACGGCGACCCGCCGTCACCCACGCGACCGCGCAACTTAAAGTGGCACGCCTCTGCCGACCCGCAACAATCCGTTAAGGCAGATTTACTTTGAGCAACACACTGACACCGGCAATCAAATCCTCAAATCGGCGTTACCACATCATTTTCGAACAAAGTGAGATTTACTGGAAAACCTTAGAATCGTAATTATTCTAAGTTGAGAGTGAGATACTAACAATTTTTATAATGCATAATGTAAATTATTTGCTAAAATGTGTGCAGCAAATAGCATATATAATAACAAACCAACATTATTGTATTTTCCTTCCTGAAAATTTTACTTCTCTTCATTGACTTGCTTCAATAAGTAGAGTTTCTTTCTTCAACAGAATTATAAATTCTGTGTACCAAATTCTTAACATCCGAGGTGGGTACACTTAAGGCTTAAAAAACAGGACATCTAAAACCGGAACGTCAAGTAACGTTGGTTTATAAGAAAACTTTAGTAATAGAGTTAGCAACCGGAGCCAGTTTGTCATTTACAAAGCATTAACACCGCGTGCTTAAAGTCAATGCTGCTGACACGAGGATACAGCACATCGACTATAAAAAAGCGTCGACACTATTTCTGATGCCGGTTACTAACCCAATGTAAATCGGCCTTAACTCTATTGAATTCAACCATTAAACCGTTCGAACGACAATAAAACAGTTCATGCGCAACCTCAACCTCCCTTGTTATCGAATTTGGTTCTCTGACAAGACGGAATACCGTGCGTTTGCAACCGTGTCGGGCCATGTTCGTCCGACTTACGTAATGAGCCTTTCGCAGTCCTCGCAAATGTTCTGGCCGGGGGGCAAGCCGCCCGTGTTGAGCGGCGCGTCGGGCTTCGTGACCGGAGCGGCCACGTGCCGCAGCCCGCTCACCGGCGCCGGTGGAACGGTCGTTCCGCTTGCCTCTACTTCAGGCCCAATTTGGATAACTCAATTTAGAACCATTGAACTAGCATTCAATTGAATGAATTTAAGAAAAAAGGGCGTATTAAATTGAATCTTTAGAATTTAAATAGATGGTAAAGATAGTAATAATGCAAGGAATTAACTAAAATAAAACAAAAAAAATTAGAATAATATTATCAAGAAAGTGTAATTTTTTTATTAATATGATCGTATAGTGTAAGTATATCCACTATCCCTTTATTATAACGTGGGTGTCGTAAAAGGCGTCAGAGGGAAACTGAACCAGGAGATAGGCAGCAGCTATATTATCAGGATAACAACTGAATAAAAATGAAAAACTACGGTTGCCAACTAGCTAGTCAAGCGTAGCAACTATTGTAAATTATGACACAATATATGGAGAAGGCAATGATCAGCAGTCAACTGTTGACAGGCTGTAATGGTAGTAGTGTAATTGTTTTACCTGGCTCGGGATCGTTTTGTTCCTCCTGCAAAACCTTGAATACAGCGCTCTTTTCCGCATCATATGTCTTCTCATTCTTTTTGAAATTTACTCTGTTAATTAAAGACAATTGAATACCGTTTAGTTTAAATTCAATTATAATATAAAGTTATTTTATTTTATTGAAGCGACAGTAGTCTAATGGTTAACTAGTGGTCGCAAATTGGTCGTAATTCAACCGTAATTTTTTTAAAGTTTCTTTAATAAGTAAGTTGTTTTTTTCATTGAGTTATATGTACTACGTACTAGAGAAGCCATTCCGAACATTGACTATGTTTAACTGAACTGTAGTGCAATCCATACAAACTAAATATTGCGTAAATTGAAGATTTGTGAATTCCATAAAATTATTATTATTACATTTTATTTAGAAATATGTTTGTTTAGATTAAATTAAGATATTTTATATTAAATTCTTATATTTATTTTATATTAATATCTTATTTTATATTAAATTAAAGTCTTCGCGCATGCGCGACTACTACTCCCGCGCATGCGCGAAAACATAGAGTAGGACACAATTTTTGTTTGGAGTGGCTTCTCTAGTACGTAGTACTGTACTACGTACGTGTACTACTAGTACATATAACTCAATGGTTTTTTTACTTTCAACTGCACATCAATACACAGGGTTATTTTTTAAAGAGTAGCCAAATTTTATATTTACGTTCAAATATATAAATAATGGAATACCATTATTGAAGTTTTGGAAAATACGAGTAAATAAGGCTTCTAATTTTAATTGAAGTCATCCCAAATTGAAAGTGATTTATGGGCAACAAACACGCGTATGCGCGCTCCTCTGTGTATTCGCAAAAAGTCAATTCCATTCACAACTTTTTTACCGACTGAGCGACACTTACGAATATATGCGTGAGTAGTAAAATAGCAGGCGTAGGATATTTATGAATGACAATCAGTTAAAATCATGCATTACCAAGCATTCTGAATTTAAAAGATGAAAAGGACAGAATGTTTAAGATTTTTTTTAAATTAAGTTATCTTCACCATTCGCCTATATTACTTATTCTAAACCTTCTTTGCAAATATAACCGTTTATTGCAAAATAACCCTGTATAAAACATAGATATCTAATGTACAAAATGTATAAAATAAACGCTGTTTTGCCATTTCCGTTGGATGACTTCAAATGTCTTGAAATATAAATTTTAAAATTTTTCAGACATACAGGTTTCGCGATGTTTTCCTTTACAGTCAAACACGTAGTCAATCAACGATTAAAATAGTATATAATTTTAAAACGAGCATTTTTTTCTCTTCTGTATTACCACGGCATGGTAAAATTTACCCACACTTAAAATTGTCATTGCCGCTTATCTGATCTAATTCGATTAACCTGTCTGTAATAAAGCATTAATCATAGATATGTTAAGAATAAAAGCGTATTTAATTTACCTACATAAAAAGAAATTATTCTGGTCATAAATTAGGATGTTCAGATAACACACTACTAGTGTGATTAGATTGCTCCCAGCTTACTCGAATGTATGTTTATTTTTATTTCTACTTGGCTTTTTCGTGTCCATAAGAATCAAACTGAATCAAACGTAATGGCCAGTAGGTGTATCGTTGTACATCCAAAGAGGTCATCATTACAACAAATTGTGTTGTTATTAAAAATGTATACGTACCCAAGCACGCCGCCAGCCAGCACTTCGGTTTGCGCAGATAGCGTCTCGGCAATGCTCTTGTCGCTGTACATGTTCACCGGCGAGTTGTATTGTTTATTTACAACACTTTTCATCGAGTCATTGCCGTTCATCTGAAAACAGTAAGTGCAATAAAACAATGGAACTTGTATTTTTTTAACCATTTAATGGCAACTACAAAATGGCTTTTAAAATTAATACTGATAATCATTTTTCTTGACTGCCCCAAAAGATGATTGTGTTATACAAATCAGGATAACAACCCTTTCAGATGTGAGGAGGTCTACGCCAAAAGTTAATAAGTTTTACTCGCTTTAATTTCAGAAGCAGAAAAAAAGAAATCCTTAGATAGAGCCATATGTTATTTATATATTTAGGTACTGTAAACATAAATGCATAACATTAATATGATTTGCATCTTTGATTAGACAATTCGCCTGACATATCTCCTTGAAGAATCTTTATCTACGTATTTTAACACTTGTAAAACAAAACTTTTAAATGTATAGCTTTGCTTAATAAATTGGTTATATATTAAGCAAAGACCTAATTCGTAAAAGTTTTTGGAAACCTTATTTTTTTACACAGACCAAATACACTGCTTACATTTTTAATAGAATAGATGAAAATTACGTTAGTTAGCCATGTACTTCTTAGTTTGTGCGTATAATAGTTTAAAAAATTAAGCAGCGTATTTGGTTTCTGTAAAAAATAAGGTTTCCAGACTTTTTTGAATTTGGTTTTATAATAAAGCGGATGAGATTTTGTTTTTGTATTTTTGTTTGTTTAATCACGCTAATCTCTGGAACTACCAGACCGATCTAAAAAAATATTTTTGTACATTATAGCCAGATTCATGGGGCTATATAGTATATATTAAGCTACACTTCTCAGCTAGCCTTAAATAATGTCTTTTGTTAAGCAAGTCAGAAGAAAAAGGGCTCCCGAAATGATGTACTCGTATCCGCGTGCGCTAGCGTAACATACAAAAGCGATATCACTTACAGTTTCCGCGCAACCTGCCACGAAATATGAACTTTTTTATATCATTTATCTATTTTTTTTGCTCAAGGTTTAGCTATCTAAAAATTTCTCACGAATATTTTACGTGGTAGAGCCATGCTGCAGCTATATTAATAGTATAGTTGTAGCACGTATGGGTCGGCTCGACCGGGGAAGGACCACGCTTTCACAGAATACCAGAGTAAAATAGCAGCTTAACACTGCTGTGTTTCGTCTGGTGAGTGTAGAGAACCGGAGACCCTTTTTACTAGAAAACAGGCATTCCATCTTAGTCCTCACGGCTGACAACGCATCTGCATTTTAATTCGCAAACGAAAATAGAAGTAGATGTCTATGGGCCGCAGCAACCACTTACCATCAGGTGGACTGTGTGCTCGTTTGTCACCCTTATTCTATAAAAAAAAAAATATTTCGTGGCAGATTGTGCGGAAACTGTAAGTGATATCGCTTTTGTATATATAAGAAGTTGATATCAAATTCATCAAGGATCATCATGTTCCTACACATTTTTTATGTAGGTATCATCATCATCATCATCATTACAGCCCTTCACAAGTCCACTGCTGAACAATCCCCTCCCCCAAAGAATGCCACAAAGCACGGTCCTGAGCCACCTGCATCCATCGACTTCCTGCATGTCTTACCAGGTCGTCACTCCATCTCGTGGGGGGACGCCCTACACTTCGCCTGCCGGTACGAGGCTGCCACTCGAGAACCTTTCTTCCCCATCGGTTGTCGGTTCTTCGAGCTATATGGCCGGCCCATTGCCACTTCAGCTTACTAATCCGTTGGGCTATGTCGGTTACTCTGGTTCTACTGCGGATATCCTCATTCCTAAGTTTATCACGCAGAGAAACTCCGAGCATAGCCCTCTCCATAGCTCGCTGAGCGACCTTGAGCTTCCTCATCCGGCCAGCAGTGAAGGACCACGTCTCAGTTCCGTATGTCATCACTGGCAACACGCACTGGGTGTACAGTCTCGTTTTCAAGGTTTGAGGTATACCTGACGAGAAGTATAGTGTAAGGTTTTGTTTAAAAGTGGAAAATGCGCTTCAAGAAACTTTTGGAGGGGGGGACGCTCACCCGGAAGAGGGAGGGAGAGTGGATGAAATTTTACTTCGTGGATAAAAGTACTGAAATACAGTACGTCTTCAATTACGGAATGACTGCGTGATTCTGCGTAGTTTACTTAAAGCAACCTAAAAGCTCGGAATTATCTACAAAAATGTAGAAGGATGTAATACATACGTAGCCAAAAGGTTTGGCGACGCTGTTGTGCCCAGATCCAAAACTGCGCGAGGGCTGCGGTGTTGCTTTTAGCGACGTGGTAGTGACAGGCGCAAGGGCGCCGCCGAGCGGCCGCGAGCCGGGACGCGGTAGACTGCCAGTCGGTGTCACCGTGGGGCGCCATGTGCTACCACCGCTGTAAGAAACAAATTGAAGCAATTATCTTAAAGTACATCGGCGTTAATGAGTGAGCACTGGTTGCGTTGATTTGATCCGAGCCGACCTACGTTAGATCAACTGGTGATGTACCTACGTTTTATAATATAATACAACATATAACAGGTGCATAACACCAGTTGTATTTTTACAAAATTCATTGGGATAGGGTTCAAAAACGATTATTAAGAATAATTCGTTGGCGCTTTCATTTGACATTTTAGGTTAAATACTGGAATAATGCCCCAAAACGAAGGTCATCCATGGAAAATTAAATGGGGACTGGTTGGTGGGCACTTTATAATGTAATTCATTTAGATTTTTGCAATTCGGTGAATCAACAGCAGCAGATGTCTATTGTGAAGAACTTCGAACAATATGGCGAAACTCGAAAGAGAATCAACCCCGACATGTCAATCGATCTTCGCCATTATTGCTATAATTATTATGATAACGCAAAACCTCACACCGCTCGACAATGACAGCGTGGTCCTACCCCAGTCGATCCAACCCATTCGTGCTACCAGCATAATATAGCTGCAACGCGGCTCTACCATCAGCTGGTGAAATTTGTGTAATAACTTTTCATAGTAACTATGAACCTTAAATTTACGTCCTGTCCTCGAACTTAGATTTCTAATACTTAATAATAATTTTACAACATGAAGGGTGAACAATCTAAAAATCTATAATTATTTTATATTAGATTAAGTCACAAATAACACGTGCAAAAACAAATAAAGTTCTATGACTATGAATAAATCAGCTTTGAACATCCGATTTCATTTTTAAAAAAAAATAAGATTTCGGTCTTGGCTTATAAGATCCCGAAACAACAATACGTAGCTCATTCAGAATGTGTAACTTCTAAGTATCTATTAAAACGAAATGGCTTCGTGCCAGCCAGTAATTGTGTGTTACTACTAGCACAGAATAAATAACTACTAGTAAAGCTTGAATCAATGAATCTGGTTATACCGCTGTACGGTGAGCTCGAGGGCGCCCCCGGAGGCACGGATAGCATCCTGCGCCTCCTGGTGTCGCAAGTTGTAGACTTCGGTGTTGTTGACGCGGATTAGCGCGTCGCCCGCTTGAAGACCCGCGCGTTCCGCGGCGCTGCCTCCATTCACCTGAAAAAAAAATATTTTTCATGTATCTAGTGTTTTTATGCTGAGTAAAGATTCTTGTTGTTTTCTTCCTCATGGTTAGCTATTTTATCTTATAACTGAAAATTGCTCAAACTTACTGCACTAGGCAGGCGAGTTGGTGAACAAGAGCCACAAGTCATACTAACAATGTTGTTCCTCACCTGCCAGCAGGACTTGGATTTGGATTGGAATTTTCCCCATCTGCCTAGAGACTCGTTAGGCATTCCACCATGTTTGTTTGGAATTCGAGAAAAAATTGAATTCCCTCTATCTTTTTATATGTCGTGTCATGGCAGGGTAAAAAAATCCTCTACCCCATAACATACGAGTATCGTAAGAGGCCACAGAGGGAAATGAAACAGAAGATGTATAGCAGCGGCTACATGATAACAACTCCAAACAATAAAAATTTCGCAGTATCTATGGCAGATACCCCCCTATGAGGAAATCTATGGGACTATGTTCTGCAGTGGACTTTTGATAATCTGTGATAAATAATAAATTCCCTCCATCACTCCAAAGAATTAGACGCCTTAGAAACTGCAAAACAAACTTTCTTAGTCGACCCTTAAGATGGACATATATCTAATAAGTAAGTATATTAAATTCTCGTGTCGCGGTGTTTGTTACCAAACTCCTCCAAAACGGCTGAACCGATTTGTATGAAATTTTGTGTGCATATCGGGTAGGTCTGAGAATCGGCCAACATCTATTTTTCAAACCGCTAAATGATAGGGGTGACCCATCCCCTAAATTTTTTTTAATTTTTTGTCAAAACATTTTATTGCATACATTAAGCGAAAGCGCAAGGTATGTTCTACTATCGCCTAAAAATTAAGATTCCAATGTTTTATCGAATAAAATCGTAATCTAGCAATCATATTATAAATGATATAAAAAGCACATTGTTAGAAAGATAAATGATTGTTGAACTTATTAATATTTTTTTTAATCGATTAATTGCTATTTTTAAATAAAAAAAGGGTTTAGTGGCTTATGGTGTGGATTTATCATGTCCCTGTGGCTTGTAAACACGATAACTTTTGAAAATATCAATTGTTTAACTCAATCTATTTTTTAATCTCTTTATCTACCATGTGGGAAGCCACTGAATGTAAATGGCAGTGTAATTTTGTTTTGTTTTGTTTAGCTATAATTAATTTTTTTCGGCTCCAAAATAGCGAAATTTTCGTTGATTTGGTAGCCTTGCATGTAAATTATTTCTGTAAATGGGGAGCTACAGCCACAGAGTAGTTTAGTTCGGCCCACAGAGTACATTATATTGGTTCGGCTTCAGTCGTCGTCGTAAGTGGACATTGTTTCGGTTGTTTGCAGCGGCTCAAAAAGATCGCTGTACAAATACACAATATTCGAATAACCAAATTTCTTAAATACTTGATTATAATAATAATAAGAGATTTTTTATTACAATATTTTAAAAGCACAGAATAAATAATAGTAGTACGTATGTACTAAAAGTAAGTAGTATAAATTTTTTTGTAATGGGTGACATTTTCATGGTTTTCGAGGGTATTGAAACCGATAGGTTGTCGAAATGTAAATCCAAGATGGCGGCCGCAATAGGTATCAATTTTTTCATCATGGGTGTCATTTTCATGGTTTTCGAGGGTGCTGAAGCATGGCGACTGCAATAGGTATCAATTTTTGCATCATGGGTGTCATTCTCATGGTTTTCGCGGGTGTTGAAGCCGATAGTGCTGTCGAAATGTAAATCCAAGATGGCGGCTGCAATAGATATCAATTTTTTCATCTTGGGTGTCATTTTCAGGGTTTTCGAGGGTGTTGAAGCCGATAGTGCTGTCGAAATGTAAATCCAAGATGGCGGCTGCAATAGATATCAATTTTTTCATCTTGGGTGTCATTTTCATGGTTTTCGAGGGTGCTGATGCCGATAGTGCTATCGAAATGTAAATCCAAGGTGGCGGCTGCAATGGATATCAAGTTTTTTATCTTTGGTGTCATTTTCATGGTTTTCGAGGGTGTTGAATCCGATAGTGGTGTCGAAATCTAAATCCAAGATGGCGGCTGAAGTAGGTACCAATTTTTTCATCTTGGGTGTCATTTTAATGGGTTTCGAGGGTGTTGAAGCCGATAGTGCTGTCGAAATGTAAATCCAAGATGGCGGCTGAAGTAGGTACCAATTTTTTCATCATGGGTGTCATTTTCATGGTTTTCGAGGGAGTTGAAGCCGATAGTGCTGTCGAAATGTATTTAAACTACTTTAAAAATTCCGTATAATCATGTTATACGTAATATTTTTAACGCGCTTAAGGTATGGCCAATTGGATTTACCAATATTTTTATTTTATTATGATTTAGCATTGAAAAATACATAGAACTTCAAATTTGTACTTTACCCTTCTACGATCAAGCCCTATTTTTTAATCGCGATTTTTAAAACAAAAAAATATTTCCTAGAAATAATGTATACCTATAGCAAAACAACGTTTGCCGGGTCAGTTAGTTATTTTATAATCTGAGGTATTGACTTAAAAACTCATGCTAAAAATCACTTGAATTAAACTTAAATATAAAAAAAAAATTCTTGGGCGCCATAACTTCGACCTGTGCACCTGATCCATGCTGCAGCTATATATAGTTGTAGGAAGGACCACGCTCTCACAGGATACCAGCGTAAAATAGCAGCTTAATGTGTTTGGTATGGTGAGTGTAGAGGACCGGATACCCATTTTACTGGAAACGAGACGTTCCATCTTAGTCCTCAGGGGTGACAGCACTAACCTTTCCAACAATTTATTATTACAAAAGTAAGTACTTAATAAGATTATACGCAAAAATCGCAGTGAAATTTATTCGTTCATTAAATGTTAAGCTCAACTGTGAAAGTCTTATTGGAATTTAATAACTTAATAATAATTATGAAACGCCAATAAGACTTTCGTTCATTTAACTTTTCCGAGAACCTCTGTACTTTTATAGTGCCGGTTTTGAAGAATGCGTCAGCTGCTGTTTCCCCCTAGTATATGGTATAAAAGAACGGGCCTTAAGGGTTCTTTGTTTTAGGCGACTGACAATTTTCTTACAAAACAAGCATTGCATTTCTATATTCTAGTATATAATTAATATTGCAAGTTTCGAAGGACGTGAGCTGAGCTTTATAGAAGTTATAAAAATTCTTTACAAAAAGAAGGAAATTTATAGACAATAATTTCGACAATTTTAATACTTATGTATGCTTATTATATTCTATTCGTCCACAAATAGTGACAATGTAGTTGACGCACTTATTCGGTTTAACTATTATTAGGTAGTCGGAAACCACAATTAACACAGCTTTAAATGAATATGATTCACGTTTTCCCGTTTAGTAACCGATACGTTCGTGAATTTAGCACCATTACGACATAATTTATATTATTTACTACCTACCTCTAGAATAATTTAGGCTAAGCAATTTAAATTTACTTTTACTCTCAACTTTTACTTTGGTAATTGTACATATTATGCGAACAGAAAAATAAGCAATATTGAGATAATTTTTTTAATTACGTAATTTTATTTATTTAAACTCTACTGCTTAATCACCATTATAAACAAGGCAACAATCAGCGGACCTAACGTGTAACGGCATTCCCTACTAGAAAGACAACCCTTGGTGCAATGAGATGAAGTGTAAGGTAAGGTGCAATAACAATGATTAAACCCAACAAAAATGTAAAAATACTTAAATGACATTTATAGTTGCCACCGAAACAAGATCTCGTTTGGTTTCTTCATTACGCAAGGAATGCAAAAATGGAAAGGGAAACCATTTCAAGTAATAAACAAGTTCCTATATAGGTAACTCGTGTCGTCTAAGTAAGTAACACAACCACCATGTGTATGTGTCCTGGATTGCATCTGATATGATGTGATTCCTAGACCAGACGTCAGCGTATTTCTGTACGGAATGCGAGACGGGGGGCGGAAGGAAGCGGCGGTGACGTCACGGTGAGATCAGCGCTCGCAACCGGTCTGGACTGGACAGCATCGCATATGTGCGATAGCAACTTTTTTCGCTTTAGCGCGCAAAAAGCTCGGTGTGCGCAGCGAATTCCACCGTGGAGGGAATTTAGCGTTTCGGATGTATTGTCGTATAGGAGCAATATTTACTATAGTTGTAATAGATTTTATATAACAATTTTATGAACACAAATGTTAAAAACTTTTGAAAAAAAAATTCGGATTGTAAAACTAAATAAACAAACTAGAATTACGTTAAAGTTTCGTAATTACTTATAAACTAATTATAGTACACTTGATAATTCTAATTATATATAGGGGATCAATTTATTCAAGGTAAACATAAAATATATGTATATCATTTGAATAAATGCGTAAGTGATCATTTCGAACCATCACCACACCACTTCCCTCGCCATATCGTTGTCGGGGTAAGCGTTTGCGTTTCAATTCGAAAGACTGCAAGTCGTAAGAAATAACCTCCTTCCGGCCGCGAAGTCGTTGGCAATGACCTCGCCTAGTCTACCCCTCGTCAAAGACTTGATAAAATGGATACGCAGTTAGGTTAAATAGGAAACTATTTTGTTTGCGTCGCCCCTTAACATCTATAGCGCCTTTTACATCAAACTTAATTTTGATAGATATTCATATTATATATTACATAGTTTCAGGTTGTGGCGGCATAAGAACATTTATCACTATTGAGGAAATGGAACATCTTGTATTGCACGCCTCACAACGTGAGGGAGTGCTCTACTTTCGATATGTGGCCATACCTCAATTTCGCTATATAAAATAGTTTTTATACTTTTACTAGACATCAAAACCATATTTTTATTATCGTTACAATAACTATAGACTTGAATTATAAGATTCGTTTATTTTCTAATTGATTCACTTTATATTACATAACAAAAAATGTAATTGAAAAAATATATGAACTGCCGTCCGTTGGTCTGTGCGTCGGTGAGTCTTCACGCTTAATAGAAATGTAGATT